AAATTTCTCTAATGAGAATGTCATTTCGCTTTTATTTAGCTGTGACAATTGAAAAGAAATAAAGGTATTGTAAACAAGCATGCCAACCTGTTGTCAATTCTTTTTGCAAAGAAAGAAGCCATTCAAGACGATGCATGATGGCCAAAATGCATGTTCATCTATAGCTTCGAAAAGCAATTAAGACAGTAAGAGATAAGAGTCCACGATAAGAGTTTAAGTTTCAGTATGCTGCGAGCAGTTTGGCATGCAGCCAACATGCCGGATAACAATTTTGATTGATTTCGGGACGACTACGGCGTCAAAGTGCGAGAATAATAGAATTGAGTCAACGCTCATTTCTAACATCGCATGGTTGAGTTTGGCTTCTATTTGCGTAGACTCGTTGTTCTGCGCCTTATAGCTCACCCTGCTTACATGCTTGAAGCAACCTCCAAAATTTGGAGATTCCACTCTTACCACTTTACGATATTTGTGATAATATCGGTGTATAGCGATCATTTGGTAGTCATCTCTCAATTCTTACCAGTACACTCTGTACGAGAGACTTTTCGCAACACTGAAATTTAATAAGAGCTCGCTACATTTATTGAGTTGTAACTTTTCCACAGTTACATCATTACATAATTATACAGAAATGCTCCCCCGAAAACGATAGCGGCAGGCTGGCATGCGTTCGTTTCTAAGCTTCTTGAAAACGGAGTTTATAACTTTCACAAAGTCCCCTTTGACTCTTACAAGGGAAGAATGGTCAGACGACGTGGCCTTTTGCGATTATTTGTATACCAAGTTGGAGGGCATAAAACGCTGATTTCAAATCTGTCTTCCTTATCCGTTCCTGCACGAGAAGTTATGGGAGAAAACTGAAAGAAATTGAATTTGCAAATAATATAAATACTGTAGTAACACTACTCCTAGCGCTTAAATGGACCAGTAGTAATTTTTCCAGCACTCTATAAAATAAATACTCTAAGATGAGATATATCCGCACTCCGGCTGTCTCATTCAAGCGCTGGGAAAATATTAACAACTGTTTTTAATTAAAAACACTCATTTTTCTGCTTGTTCAAACGCTCATTACTCCTCGTCCAGGAACGGGCATTGTTGTTGTTGTTTATGTGTTCTACTCAATGAATTTAGTGTCCGGGCAAAAACTCACATTCTAGGAAATTCGCTAACCTGGAGTTATCCACGATGAATTTGAAAATCCAGATTAGAGAGCGCGAAAACTGCGATGACAGGCATTTCCCTAACGTTAGAATTTGAATTTGGCTGTGGAACAGTTGCCTTCAATCCTGAAAACAGAGTCGCTGCGTGACCCCACATCTTTCACTTTGGCGGCATGCGTACTCTGCCGGAGAGCAGGAATTCCACAGGTCTGCGAAGTTTTTTCTCGTATGTTTTCCAACTTCCCAACTGTATTGCTTGTTTCTGGTCAAAAGTTTTGGCTTCGCATTTGCGCGAATGAGCATCCGGAGAAGGGGGGGGGGTCCACTTTCGCATTGCACTAAAATCGCAAAAGCCTCGGTCTTGGCCGGACACGCTTCGGAGTCTTCCATTTGTTAGCATCTATGAATTCTATGGAGGCGTTTATGTGTAATGAATAATGATAATGATGATGCCTTAATGTTAATAAAGATGATAAGACGAAAAAATTGAGCTGCGAAACAATCACATGGCAAATGTTTTAGCATGTCTGACAGTAGCGGAATTTTTCGCGCATATTAGATACCAAAAAATCAACCCGTCAGCATGTCAACACTTCCACATCGTGTAAAACTTTCGGTATACGCTCTGGCATATCAAACTTCTCATGACAGCGTTTATAAGAAATGAAGTGGCTTTTCTTTTGTACTTGACTGTGTGGTTGATTGATTGCGATTGAGTGTTGGTACTCGCCATTTGGTAGAAACCGGCCACGCGGACTGCCAAAGCCAACCTCAAGCTTGGGTAATTAAACTTTATTAGTAACTATAAAAATCATAAAAGCAAAGAGTAAACACGGTAATATGAGAGTATTCAATTATATGAAAATAAAGGCGGAATAAATGTAAATGAGTTCGTAAATTGAGTTCGTAAATGAGTAGTATTAAGTGAGATTCGGAGAGTAAGTGAGACCATACTTATATAAGGCACCAAATAAATGAGCGATTAAGTGAGGGA